AAAGAAAACTCCTAGTAAAACGCAGTGTGTTGAACCGCCAAGAATCCAGATGGTGTGAATGGTATCGTGAATTTTGTCGCGATGGGCGTTCGGGAAATTTGGTTGTTAAGATTAATCATAACAATTCCTCAGAACAATCGCGTGGTAAATGCGATGGAAAATTCAAAGGGATACGACATCCCTTCGCAGCGCAAGTGTCAACGATTTGATGCACTGTACGCTCAGTACGGTCAAGTGGAGTACCTGGTACTGGGACGCCTCGATCCAGAGATGAGAACAGTGTCAAGATTCCATGTCAAGGTCGAACTTGGGCCTTATAAAGTTGCAATCGGTTTGCCGGTATAAAATACTGTCCTGCTCTACCGAGCATGCCAAGGTTTTTAGAGGACAATTTAGCCTTCCCTTCCAAGAAACCACTAAACTATACGGCATTTGATATGTTCACGCTGAGGAATCCGATGGGGATGGATTCTATTTAACAATTAATATTCATTACACAAAATAAAAAAAACTGTAATAAAGAAAAACTAAAACTAACATTTTTAATTGTCATAAATATATTCATAGTTATATAATTAAAGGCTTAATATTGCCTTTCAAAATCAATGAATTTATTAATAACATTGTTAAAATATTCGACATGTGTTAAATAATAAAAATGCAAGTCAAAAATATTATAACAATAAAGATAAATAACAAGCGAACCAGATGAAAAAACTATAAAGATAAATTATATTTATAAAATAATTGGAAAATTAACCAAAAGTCATTGAGCACTTTCGTGTAGAGAAAATTGCTTAAGCCGTGGAGGGTGTTCATGTAAAGATTGCTTATATAAGGGAGCTGCCGGGGACGCATACCCAAGGGTGTACATATGTATGGGGTGGTCGTGTGACCGACTACTTATAGTACTGTTGCACAATGTATCATCCTATATTAGGGTTCTGGTAGACGGAGGTATACGAATGGTGATGTCTGCTAGGATTGGATGGGGTATCTTGGGATAGTGTAAGCCCGATAGTCGTAATGATGCTTGTTGAGTTCTGCACCATTGCGTCTCTGCGATGGTTGATTGGTAGATTGCTACTCTCAATGGCGCTCTCTGCGTCTTAGTTTGACTCACACCTAAGTAGCTTTGCCCAAGTCAGGTCTCTTCATTACGGGGATGTTGACTGTCCGACTTCCATAATGTTTTATATAAAAACATAATAATATATCTCGGTAAATTTCCCACCTTTGAATGATCGAAGGCAACTTGTTGGTTGGTGAGACAAACATGATCGGAAATACGTATACTCAACGTTAGTGAAACACATTTCTGATGGCAAATTCTTACTATTATCTTATAACTGCATTTTGGCTATATCTGCCGTTGTACTGACTGGTGGAGCCTATGTGTTGACCTCATGCGAATGGTAGCTAGAGGGAGGATCTGAGGAGACTGTCAAGGCTGCGGCCGAAAGCCGCACAACGGGGCACCCCATTCCCTTGAGATGAGCGATAAACTCATGACACGCTTTGCGGCTAGTAGCCGTGCTGATCATGCAATCGGTAGTGATGCCATACACTTATATCAAATCTACAGAAACGGCGGTCTGGTAGGTGGTGTTGCTCACAGAAGGCTTTTAATGGCCAGTGTGTCTATTTACCTAAATCGTGTGATGTACATTTACTGTGACTAAATCTGATCAAATTCTGTATGGCGTTTACACGCATTGATATGCGCGACTTCGGTCGATGTTTGTGCTTACGCACTACCAAGAGGTTAAGCCCTATTTAACTGGATTGCCAGTTATTTTGCTGCGGGCTACGGTCCATTTCCCAACTTACCGTCCGGGAGCCGAGGCGTGTTACTTAGTTGGCGCTCATTGCACACAGCGTGTGAGCCGTGTGCCTCCCATACATTTTTGGGAAGTGAAAAAGTGAGAAATGTGGGAGAGTGAAACTCTTGTATCGGGTATTTTACGTATAAATATATTGTGAGCCTTTCCAAGTGGGAAGGGATAAATAACAATAAATTAGTTATGTAAACCTGATACGAGTGAAATAGGGATATTTTGATGTTCTTAACCTTTCTCGAGCCCTGTCTTCGTGAACTGGCTTCACTTAGTTTTTACTACCAATGGCTTTTAAATCTCTAGAGAATGTTCATTTTTTTAAAATACACCTAGAAGAACGAAGTTATTAAACAAACAAAACATAAATAAGGGTCCTAGCTAAGACGATCACTCCATAAATATTATAAATAGTCTATTACTAAGCCTTTAGAAAGATCATTTGGAAAGAACGAAACATATCTATTAATCCTGGTCTCATATATATACACATATAAGGGAAATAATATTTAAGACGGGGGTGTGCGTTACGATATGAAGAAGGAACAGCGTAGGTGATAGCACACAGTCCTGTGATATACAATCATTGAAAGCCTAGTAATCGGATCACGTACCGTCTACTCCTACCTTGATGCTTCAACCATCAAGGAACCTGGTCATCCATATGCATAATTCCCGGGAATTCCATGGGAAGGAAGCTTCGAAAAATCGCTCTGTGCCAAACCCGATCGACCAAACTTTACTGCCAATGCCTCCTTTTTTTGTGTATCGAGGATTTTCTCATGTATCGTGGAGGTAGTATAAAATCATAAATTGTACAAGGATAAACATCCAGACACGAAATAATTATTTGTAGGTCCTACAAATACTTATTCCATGCGGGATTTGAACCTGCGGCCCCCAGCGCAGCCACTCATTGCTAAACATTGATAAAGTGAACCAAATTTGTCTTCCATAATTTCGGTATAACACCTTGGTAGTAAGAGTACCGGAAAAGAAGTATTAAAACCAGTGCCTCTCCGGGAGAACCATGCGTTATCTAAAGCGTACATTTAGCATGGAGCACATACACCGTTGGATGGTCGGCGGTGTGTTCCCCGGTTATCGAGACTTGAGTTAGACGTAAAGAGAGAAAGCCTAATAGATCGGTTTTTATCTTTTTGCCATGGGCCAATGACTCATCCTTCCTGTGCAGAAATGGAAGAGATGGATGACAGAAGTTCCCTTAGAGAGCCTTGGCGAGAGACTATGCTTGTATGATTCAATGCGCTCAGAATGCACTGCATAGTGCGAATTACATATAATTGAGCTATATTCTAAATAACTTCGAACCAGACTGTTATACAACAAAATTAAACTTTGTGGGTTCCTGAAGTGCCTGCTCTGTCTAGTAACGAAACCTAGTACCTGGTTAGATTTTTTGGCTATGAGATCGTAATGTTGGCGAAAACTAAGCTGTTCGTCAAACACGACCCCGAGATCCCTAATAGACGACACACGAGATAGAGTTTGATGTCGTAAGATGTAATTGTTTAATACCTTGTTTTTTTTAAGTGTGTTGGTGATGACAAAGCATTTTTTGATATTAAGGAACATGTTATTTTCTCTGCACCAATTAGACAAGCTGTTTAAGTCTTCCTGTATGATGCGAGTGTCGTCAGCTCCACCAATTCTATTGAAAATTTTTAGGTCGTCAGCGTATAACAGGCAAGGGGACTGAATTTTCTCAATGAGGTCATTAATGAAGGTCACAAAAAGTAAGGGGCCCAAATGGGATCCTTGTGGAATACCGGACTTAATGAGGATTTCTTCTGATGTGTACCCCTTGACGGTCACGAGCTGACTCCTGTTTCTCAAGTAGGACTCGAGCCAACGCAACAGACTGCCATGTATACCATGTGACTCGAGTTTCTTACATAAAATTGCGTGATTCACTTTATCGAATGCTTTTTTGAAATCGGTATGTATGGCATCTACCTGACCACGGTTGTTATAAGCATCGCATATGTAGGTTTTGAAGTTAAGAAGGTTACTGACTGTCGATCTCCTTTTGATGAATCCATGCTGCTTATTTGATATAAGAGGCTTTAAATGAAAATAGAGGTGATCAAATACTACTGATTCAAATAATTTGGATACTGCTGACAAAATGCTTATCGGTCTATAATTTTCACAGTTGTCTCGGTCACCAGATTTAAATATGGGGTCAACGTTAGCTTTTTTCCAGCGAGAAGGGAAAACACCGCTAATCAATGATTTATTAAATATTAGCAGAAGCGGGTGACACAGTTCATCTGCGCATACCCGCTGGCATATAATAGGTGGTATGCCATCAGGGCTTTGCATTGTTGGAGTCAAGATGCCTCAGTTTTGTTAATATTTCGTTTTCAGTGAGTACGATTTTAGTAAGAAGACTATTTGTTTGACTACAACAGACGGATACACCCGATCCACGACTATGATCTTCGAATACTGATTCAAAAAATTCTGAAAACAGATCGCAGATTTCCTTACCACCAGCAGCCGTTGTTTCACCAAATGTCTTTGAGTCGAATACTCGAGTTGTTGCGTCTTTTGCTGTTAATGTACCTCCAAAACGACTTAACGTCTTCTTTCAAACCATTTTCGATAGATCTGATGTATATATTGTAACAACAGTTTATGAGTTTTTTACATCTAGCTCGAAGGAGAGAGAATGTATCGTAATCTCGTGGGTTTTTGTATTTTTTGTAGCGCGCGTGGTATTTGTTTTTTTCCCGCATACAACGACGCAAGCCAGGATTGAACCATTTGGGATATTTATTTAAGCGTTTTTTAACTGTGGGAGTACAATCATTAATAATTTCTTAGATCACATCGTAAAATCTAGCCACGGCCTCATCTACATCTGCCCCATGAAGTAGATCTGACCAGTTGGTGTTATTGATTCTCTGCTTTACAGTTTTGTATTGGCATTTATAGAAATTTAGCCGCTTTGACTCATTGACCTTTAGAGGTTTATAATTAAGGGAATTTGAGTCTTGAAAATCGATCCGTAAGGCAGGGTGATGTTTATCCTGTTTTAATAAGGTCTTCCCGTTGGTGATGGTCATATTTCCAGAAGTGCTAAGAGCAAGATCTAGTATCTTATTGTTATTATTGGGGATGGGGTTGAACTGTGACAGATTACAGAGTATCTAACAACAGTTCGCTCTTATAGTCCATCTCATTGCAGCTAGCTGTCATACTGCCATCGTTTGACAGGATCCATGAGACATTGGGTACATTAAAGTCGCCAAATAATGCAAAATAATTCTGTTCATTTGATTTTAGGATAATGTTTTGAAGATTTGAATAGAAGTTTGACAGGTCATTTTTATTAAGATATGGAGGCAGATAGCAAACGCATACATTATTTGTCTGACCACTAATATTAGGTGGCGATATGCTAATCCAGACATCCTCTAGTTCACTTTCCCAGGAGACCTGTCCGACAGCAGAGTATTGTTTTTTAACTGCTACGAGGACACCACCTCCATCGTCTTTATTATACTTTTTAATACAAGTGGTATCGTGATCCCTACGGAAGACATTGTATTGCTCGTCAAACAGTTCCCCATTATATACAGAAGCATCGAAATTTGTTTCAGTTAGACATATCAAATTGTAATTAGAGTTCAGAAAATTTTTATAAAGACTATCTATTTTACTTCTAGCTCTATTGATATTTTGATAATATATGTACATTCTCAAAAATATGTAAAAAGATACCAAATAAATGCTTCGAGTTTAATCAGATTACAAAAAGAAAAAATAAAATGAAAGAAATAAATAAATTAGACTACTCTATACAGGGTTATTAGGCGACAGCTTTGATAAATAACTAGTGTCTCTTATAAGTATAGCAGGGGATTCTTCATTTTTACGAACATAGACACGACCGTATTTTACCCAGACCAATTTGTAGTGGTTAATTTTAGTCCATTGTCTTGCCGCGGCGTGTACTACCTTGCATCCAACTGATAGGTGTTCCGATATGTAGATATTGTATTTTTCGCCAGCCAAGCCCATGTGAGACGAGTTTAGCGGACACAACTTGTTTGCTTTATTGAATCTTCGCACTGCAGAGATGATAGTGTCGCGGTGATGTTCCGAGTGCAGCGTCGCAATAATATTGCGGGGACGGTCTGACGAAGGGTTCATCTTTGCAACACGGCAGATAGATTTTATGTCTGACTCAGCAATAGGGCAATTTACGACCTCACACAATTTCATCAACCCATACAATAAATTTTCCCATCGTTTTTCGGGTACCGACAGGATTTCAATGTTGCAGTTTCTTGAGGATTTGTCTAAGACCTGCAGAGTTTTATTCATTTGGGATAATTCGGATTGTAACTGCACATTTTCATCTTCAAGCTTGCGGACCTTGTCAGACAACGTCTTAAGTTCAGCTTTTACGTCCCTTTGCTCCTCCGCAAAAAATCTGTCGTTACGGTGAACTCGGATTTTACTTTGGCTATTTGATCACTAACTTCATTCCTTATTGTTCTGGTTAAAGATGCTTGAAAGCTTTCCAGTTTAGTATCCAACTTAAGATCTAGAAGTCTCGAGAATTGGTCGAATGTGATACTCGCAGCGGGAGTACATCCGGATGACGTGGGTGTATTTTCAACTGTGTCCATGACTGGTCGACTAAATTCAACAGTGTTTTCACTAATCGTAAGGTCTTCGCAGAACATGCTAGACTCATCCATGTTTTCTAGTTGTTTCCGAACAGGCGTATTGCAGTTGTTTCCCTTTCGCCTAGTTACGCTGATGCAAAGTGGACATATCCAGGACCTTCTCAGTTCGCCCAGGTTAGCCTTGTAATAAGATTGAGTTATGTTCAGGCATATATAATGATAATGTGTCATACACTTTATACATCGGAGTAGTTCCTCGCCAGTAATTCGATTACGACACGCTTCACAATTCATAGTGATAAAAGTTCGCTTCAATAATATATTCGCTTGAACAAGAACCGTTTATTCATCATGCATATAGTTCACAGTTTAAAGATTGTTTTGATGAATGATTTTAATGCTAACGAATACTATTACAGTACTTTTTCAACGATAACTTAGGAGCGTGACTAAACTATACACTTCTCTGACTACTCAACATATTAAGTTTGAATACAAATTAAAACGCAAAACGAACACAAAAAGTCAAATTGTGCAGGTTAGATACGATCCTGCGACCTCAAATGACCATTTCGACTGCGTAGCTAACACGCCATCGCTACTATGTTTAAAAAAAACGTAATACGTCTAATTAAAAAAACGTCAATACCAATTCCTTATAAAAAAAACAGTTGTTAGACCTAAATCATAAAATATCTATTCATAATGTCAATTGAAAATTATATCACGCCCATTCATGTGGTCCAATTTATGGAGGGTATAAGGGGAATATTTTTGAAATAAACATTTTTTCAGGTGTATTGGGCGATTTCTAGATAGCTAAAACTTTATGAGTTTGCGTCACTGATATGTTAATGTTAAGAACCTATCCTACCTCAAATGGCTTAGTAAAATCCTCCGTTATGCCGAAAATATTGCAGCTTTATTTGAAATAAATACATAGTAAAGTTCAGGATTAATGTTGAGTAATATGTTAGACGAAAACACGAATTCGTATAATTCCTCTAATATATATACCTCCAAACTGAACAATAAAACGCTGGTATTCATAAAATACTTTAAATATTATCATGAAACTTTGCATACTAACTGAACTAACTATGAATCAGGGCTTTTGTTTTTCATTTTTTAAAATTAATATTACATTACCTAAATTATCGGTGTCTTGAAGCTTGTTCTCTGTCGCCCGATCAGTCTCGCTTCGGCTTTCGAACGGAAACGATGTGTCGCTTATGATAGATAACGTAAAATTAAAATGGGAAATAACCGTAATAAAAATAAGAATCGACTTGGTTGGCGTAAAGAAACAGGCATAAATATGATAATCCTAATGAAATAAGTATCTAATGACCTATCTTATTACAGTATTTGTGATCACAAACATGTCTATACGTAGCATACGACGCACGGGGGAGTGAGGGTGAAATTAGAATTTGAGCTGAGGTAGTATAGGCCCTTAACAGAATATCTGTAAGCTTTAAGTATGACATTTTTCACGTATAATATGCGCGGTAGGCGCATTTTGGATGGAATATATAATGTGCGTCACCAACCTGCTATAATAGCAATATATCTGTAGCTATATAAGTATGGCGTTTTGCGCTTGGAAAGAAATGAATGTACGTAAAGTATGATATTTTCGCGTATAATATTATGCGTATTGGACTCTTTTTGGACGGATGAAAATGAGTTCACGTCACCAACATGCTGTTAGGGCACTATATCTGTAGCTATATAAGCATGACGTGTTGCGTTCGGGCATCAATGATTTCAATTTACATACCATAAAATCTTAAGATATTTTTCGCGTATATTATGGGCAGTGGACGTATTTTGGATGGATGAAATAGATAGATAGATAGATAGATAGATAGATAACTCTTTATTGCATTTGAACAAAGTTATTACATTAACGGAAAACTTTTGACTACAAACGTTGGTAGTAATTAAGTATGGCGTGTTGCGCTCGGACATCAATGAAAGTACTTTAAGTATGATATTTTTCGCGTATAATATTATGCACATTGGACTCTTTTCAGATGATAACTTATAAGTTCGCCAACATGCTGTAATAGCACTATATCTGCTTAGTATATAGCTATATAAGTATGACGTGTTGCGTTCGGGCATCAATGATTTCAATCTACATACTATAAAATCTTAATTATTGATATTACAATATGAAAAAAATCATAGTTTTAAATTACTCACTTCTGTCAGCGGTTTATTTTTATTCAACCTTTTATTTATCTGCTTAAGATAATCTGCGATGGATTGCCTCTTCTCATGGATGTCGTAAGGGGCTGAAATAGAAATTGTCGTGAGGATATCTCTTGTGATAATAATCCAAGAAGTTCACAAATCGAGCGTTAGAGCCACAGTATGGAACTCTTCTTGCTTCACATCCCTCTTAGAAAGACCTATCCCTCTTGAAAGAAGACCTATCCTAAGCCAAGGTCTATATTTTGCTGTTTCTTCACCTTTATTTATTATATTTGAATCCTTACTGCGCCAGCTTAGCGGCTAATCTAATTAAAATTACGCGGGGTAAAATTCATAGCATAAAAATTATAAACAAAAAATTTCTTTTTCAAAAAAAAAAAAATACTTTTTCAATAATCTAAATTAAAAATATGTTTTTAGATTAAGTATTGAAGTAAGTAGGTATCACATTAGTATTCGTTAATCAATGTTACGGAGAGGAGGGATTTCTAACACAAGTATTTATTTACTTAAAACAAGTCCTCATTCACAACACTGCTATGTAATATATATATATATATATATATATATATATATATATAGTAGGCAGAGACTACAGACTTCCATTTGGCACGATCCTGACACACCTCTCTCGCCTCCTTCACATCCATACACCTACACATACATGCTCGTCGGTTAAGAGTACTCCTAATTTGGCCCGTTTTCAATAAGTCGCCAATTTGGTCGATAAATTTTCGCCTAGGTCACCCGTTTCCGACTCTGCCATTCACTTCTGCAACATAAATTTTCTTTGTCACTCTTTCCTCATTCATTCTTTCCACATGACCAAACCACCGAAGCATTCCTTTCTTAATCCTGGTCACAACATCATCTTGCAAACCACACTCTTCTCTTATTACACAATTTCTTACCCTGTCATTCAGATTCAGCCCTAACATACTCCTTAACGACCGCATTTCTACTGCGTTCATTTTACTCTCGTGCTTCTTCTGCTACACCCAACTTTCACTACCATACGTTAATGTAGGGACCAACACAGCATTGTGAATTGCCATACGTGCCTTTTTCGACACATTTTGACTCTTCACAATAGAGTGTACTTGCTCGATCAACTCCCCTTCTATTCTTATTTCACATATCGTCTTACTTTCTTCTCTTTCAAAAACCATAACTTTCGTCTTACTTGCGTTCACTTTCATACCCCTTTCTTTTAATGATTAGTTCATTAATGTAACCATCATTTGCAGTTCGGCCACCGACGACGCAAGAATAACTTGATCATCGGCGTACAAAAGGTATTTGACGGTTAACTCACCCATTCTTAATCCGCATTCTTCAACTTTCAAATTTTGGAAACAACTGTCCATAAATAGGTTGAACAGCCACGGGGAAGCAACACCTGTCCTGTCTGACATCTTTGTGGATGCCAAACCAGTCCGAGTAGACCCCGTTGATCCTAACACAAGCATTAGAGTCCCTATAAAGCGACTCTAATGCCTGCATCAAGCCAGCGTTCAACCCAAATGAATTCAGTATTTGCCATAGCACAATCCACTCTGTCATAGGCCTTTTCGAAGTCCATGAACGCACAAAAAACCTTTTGCTTTTTGGCCAAAAACTTTTCCGCGATCATGGGCATGGAATACACTAGATCTGTACATCCCATTACTTTTCTAAATCCCGCTTGCACATCCCAAATTTTTTCATCAGTTTTTTTCATAACCCTTTCAATCAGTACCTTAGCATACAGTTTACCCACAATGCTAAGAAGGCTGATACCACGGTAGTTTTTACAGTCCTGCTGCGACCCTTTTCCTTTATATACTGGGACTATCACGGCTTTCCACCAGTCTACCGGTACCCGCTTCAGTTCCCAGCATAAATTAAACAAGGTGTGCAGCAGGCCTGCCACCACTTCCTCTCCAGCCCTTAGCATTTCGAGTGAAACTCTATCATATCCGGCATCCTTACCTGCTTTCATGCTTTTCATTGCTTTCGTTATTTCATCTATACTTATCTCGCTACCTCTTTCCTCTTCTTTCGGAGTTTCTACTTCATTTATTTTATACGTTGTCTCCTCACTCATAAAAACGCTTTCAAAATATGCGTTCCATCTCTTAAAACTCAAAACTTCATCATTCAGAATATAGCCATTCTCATTTCTTATAGCATTTATTATAGGCTGTTTTGAATGTTCCCTGGCAGTTCTTACGAGTTTCCAGAACATTATAATATTTGCCTGGAAGTTATCCGATATTCTTCTATCATTCTTATCTGTTCTTTCTTGCTTTTTCCTTTCAACTACTTCTTTTACTCTCTTATTTAGATGTCTAAAGGCTGCCTTTTTGCTTTCAATATCATCATTCGTACCGCTAGAATTACCAGCTTTTGTTGCTAGTAAATTTAGCCATGCTCTCTTCTTTGCTTCAACTTCCATACGCATCTCATCGTCCCACCATAATGTATTATTTTTCCTTTCATTCTTTCTCTTACTAACACCACATACTTCTGTAGCTGCATCCACTAAACCTTTCTTAACATTTTGCAATACATTCTCCAAATCTAACTCATTCGTACATAATTCATCCAAACCACTTATATTTTCTTTCAGTCTACATTTGAACTTGTTTTTCTCACCTTCCTCTTGTAAACTTTCAGTTTTAATACGCTGTAACGCAGTGGTAGACACAGATGACCGATAGCGCCAACGCCTGAATAGACCATTAATTCGGCATAAAACCAAATAATGATCCGTTCCTACGTTAGACCCCGGTAAACCCTTGTATCTACCACTACGCCCCTCATTCTTTCATCCACAATTACGTAATCTATCATGCTTCTATCAAACTAGTTATAACACTATGTGTTATTAGCGTAACTATACGTGTGAATCCTCTTGTGGCGAAAGCAAGTGTTCGTCACAAAAAGATTCACACAAGAAAATGAAAGTGGGCTATAATATGTGCTATGGATACATAGCAGTCTTGGCTTACACATTCATATTCTTTCACAAATAGGCCCAATCTTTCTGAAAGGATGATACCCACTCCCTGGCATGCCCGCTCAATCTC